AACTGACTCTAAGGCCTCTTTGCCCTTGTGAGAGGTCACACCCCTCCAATGCAGACCTTTCACTTGGGGGCCTTTACTTAAGGGGCCTGCCAAAACAGGGTCCTTAGGGAAGAAAGGCTTTCTACTTTTGTGCAAGGCAATCCATACGCCATGCAGCTGGTCCACATTGGTATCACGGAAAGGGTTGCTTGCCCGCCAGCTTCGGTCAAAGCGGGTTGGCGTGAACAAACTAACAAAATGGATTTTCTGGTGTACAGGGCAGGTAGCTTTGGTCAACTAATTCGGTTTTTACCAGCAGCGCAGCTAGGTCCCCCAGTAATGTCAGGAGACGATTAGTAAACCCCTCGATTAAAGGTTCCCCCTTTTCCCCCCAGATTCTCACCAATACTGAAGTAAACAGCCAACAAGGTTTCCCCAAAAAACCCTACCCAATTATTTTTGGGCCCTCCCCAAAAACCCCCCTGATTAAAGGTATCCCTCTGCAGCCCCCAAGCCAACAAAAAACCTGCCAGAAAAGGTGCTTTCCTTCTTGCTTAGTATTTGCTTAGTCTGTGCTTAAACCCACCAATACTAAGTCACTATTGAACCCCTCAAGTTTTTCCCACAAATGTGCTTCCCCCGAAATGCATTTTTATTTATTCAAATTTGTTTAAAATAAGGTTTTCAAGCTCACAAAGGGGACCCCCCTTGGAGGCCAGTCCCCCCTCATGAACAGGAAACCCCCCGCGATTAATCAGGGCCCTTTTGGGCTCAAAACCAAAAAATGTGCTGTTGCCTTTTAAAGTCCTACTGCCCCGAAGGGACCAGAAGTAAGAGGACGAGGACCGAAGGGGCTCCAGAGTAATCAGGGGGGTCCTCCCAAAAATATCATTTTTTGGGACTTGTCCAAACCTTGTCGACCTTGAATGGGGGGGGGGGGAGGGGGGGGGGTTTATTAATCAGTTGTCACCATTAGTGCCGTTTTACCCTTATGGGGGAGGGTTCCCCTGCCAAAATAGACTACCGAGAAAAAAGACAAAGTTGGTACCCTTATTCAAGCCTCTCTACTGGAGTTACTGGAGGACCTAGGCAGACTAGGTTTCCGGGCACTGGCCTTGGCTCTCAAGCCGCGGGTTTTGGAGTCGTCGGACAGGTGGTACTCCTGGCGGAGATCGCCGAGAAGGTGCCCAAGACGCGGCGGGCCGGGCGCTCGGCGACTCCTCGGCGCCCGAGTTCTAATTTGGGTGTGGCTCAAAATGAAAGAGCCAGAGTTGATTTTTAAGTTCTAACCTGTGGGTTACTTTAGTCTTTGATTCCACTTGCCAGTGCCAGTTTGGTTCATGTTTTTGAGCCACCGTCAATTCACAAACCGAAAATGAGTCGGTGCAGCGGCCCCCGTTGTCCGTTTTTGGTGACGGCGTCCAAACAACTTTGTCCATCCCAAAACGGGCTCCCCCTTTTTCTAGGGTCACTGAGCAACTGGGAAGAGGCTGGAAGTTGTTTTTTGCAAAATCCGTTAAGAGTCAAGAGAGCTAAAAAGTGGTTGCGGTTTGAGAGTGTCTCACAATTACTGCTGCAGGTTAAATGAACCAACCTTTGGGGGGTGGGCAAGACCTGGTTATTTGAGGTTTTGGGGGTCGAAGGCCGTCGTATGTAGGGTCTTGAGCTCCGGCCAACAGATGGAATTTGCAAACCGAGCCATGCATTTTGTCTTTGGGTTGTGGAATAAACCTTGGGTTGGGATCATTCGGGAGTGTTTGTTGGTAGTATGGCCATGATTTTTCGATGTGGAGCCACCTGAGGTTGATTGAAAGGAACATCAGGGAAAGCACATTGTGGGAGGGGCCCTGGCTGTCATGAGCGACCACTGAACTCTTATTGGTCTACTCGCTGTTGTTTGATTGCCTTGTTTCCGGAAGGGGCCCTAGAACAAGTCAACCCCTCAATGAAGAAAACAATCAGTCCCTTTTTCGAGGACTTCAAAAGCAGTCGTCTTCCTTGCCACTTTGATTGGTTGTTGATTTGTGGGATCCAAGCTTGAGGAAAGGGGTGGTCATGATCTGTAGTTTTGACCACGATGTGTGAGCAACCGGTGATAATTACCGTTGGTGGGGTGGGTGGGTACACCTTGAAAACCAAATGGGGGAACAAAACAATTTTGGAGCTTGCCTGTGATCCCGTGTTGTGAAAAGGAATTGAAACTCTGGCACTTTCAAGAAAGGACGAAAGACAGATACACTCGTGCAGACATTACGCACGTCCTATGGTTGTCACGGGGGCGTTTCTTAAGCCCTGTCAAGGGCTTTCCGCCACGGGGAGGAGGGGGGGGAAGTATCTACACACGCATCTTTTTTCACGGCCAAGCGGAGCCAGATCAGGCCAACATGACAATAAGCAACATAAGGCCCAAAAATGCATGGGGCCAAACAAGACCAGGTACTGTCTCAGGGGAGTCCTCTGGAAGAATTGTTGTTGGTGGTCTTGCTCCCCTGGTTCGTTCCCAGCACAGATGCCGGTGATTTCAATTATCGCATTTGAAAGCGGGTTGTCCTTTGGTGAGATGGGGCTCCATGCAAGTTGTGGGTATTTGCAAGTTGGAGAAAGTTACCCAGTCGCCACCCACATGGAACCCAGGGTCGACAATGTGTCAAGTGTCAAGTTGCAACGCACAGGTGGAGGCAATCCGTGAGCTGATTGCTGAGATTGCTGAGCAGGCGGCCAACGTTTGAAGGAGGTCAAAAGAAGAGGTTCAAGTGAGTACATGCTGCCAGCGTGTTGGAGCGTTCCAATCGTTGAGCCTCTCCGTTTGTTGGACCTGCGGCTCGCACAGGTGCAAATGTTACATTATTGCCAATTGCTAATGCAGCTGCAGCTGCCGAGAATCGGCGGATCGCAGCATTCTGTCCCTGGATTTGGCCACAAATCACTGGGTTTGTAGTTTGTAGCGACAGCTGGATGGTAGACCCTCAGCATCATCAGGTTTCACTTGCCCAGCTGTCTAGCTCAGCTGGCGGCGATAATGTAAGCGTAATGCCAGACACTAAATCAGTGGTGCTTCCAGCTACCATTGGTCAGCGATCAAGATACTATTATAATACTTGGTTGGAATGGTGTTGGGATCGGCCAAAAAGTATGGTCGAAAAAAATCATGTGAATGATATTTAATAAAGGGTCCCAGATAAAGAAACATAGACGGACAGGAAAAACCAACGGTCCGTACTTCAGCGCACCCTCAAAACGGAGTATGCCATGATCAGAATACTGGTTTTGGGTCGCGGGGGGTTGATAGAAAGTAGTCATCAAACCTCTTAATAGGCATCTTAGACAGCCATGCTAGCGGGTTCCTATTGAGGGAGAGAACCACGACCCACACTTTCGGAGTTGTGACCCTGACGCAGACACGACAATTAATGTGGCAGAACACGTTGGAGCCCATTTGATTGCTGGCTCCTTTGACATCTGCTGTATCGCTTTGTGCGCAACATGTGTACCATATTCAAACATGTCAGTGGGACGGACAATAGCTGAGGTTGGGTCGTCCTCCTCGTGGCAACTGGGAGTTTGAGGGAGTCAGCTTGTGCTATTAAAGCAAGGCTGCTGGCATCCTATCAAGTCGCAGTTGTCCCGGGTTCCAGCATACCCGAGAACCCGGTTTCAAACCAACCTCTCGAAGAACACCCGTCCAGTAGATGCCTTGTTTGGCCTTGTTTCTATATTGTTTGACCCCAACAAGGCCAGTAGAATGTTGCGCTTGTTGGTCAGGGGGCAATGGTCACCTAGTGGGAAGCAGGGAAGCACAGTGAGTGGATTTGTTTGGAACATTTCTCCGAGGTGCCCAGTGGATTGGGGGTGCCGAAATGCATTGTTTTATGGCCCAGTTTGACTTCCTTCAAAATCGGCCCTCAGACCAATGCTTCTCAGGCGAATCCACTGAGCAGGCAAACATGTATGATACATCACACACCAATGACTGGAATGTGTGGCAGTACGCAAGGGCAGATTGTGTTGCATTTGCAAGCAGCATGCTTGGTTAGCCCTTGGTTTCTTCTTTAACCTTGCTTGTCCCTGTGCAAGAAGGATGTTTTCCTTCCGCATCACGCTCGCAAGTCGTTGTTCGCTGTCACCTCCGGTCCCTGACCCAGTCCAGTATAACTGCATGCGCACATAAGCGGTGCCCAACGCCCCAATAGGTTGGCCACGTTTGAAAGGGGTGCCCGATTTGAGGTGACTGTCAGGAGGTTCTAAAACTCTTGCGGGAAGGATCAAGCATTACATTGTCATTCCCATTTGAAATGGGCGTCGGAACATGAAATGGCAATGTGTCAAAATCCCGTACCCCCATTGAACATCCCAATCCCCACTAAAATAGACTAAAATGGGTGGTGCACTTACCCCACAATGGTACCATTGGTTTTGACCCGCAGCCAAATGTGGCCGGCGATTAATTTGGGGCATCGCGAGGATATGCGGCGATGCGACGGATGGATGGACTTCTCGGCTTAAGGCAGCTTGGAAGGCCAAAGATGCCAGCCTCAAAGAGGCTAAGCATCGCACCACATGGAAACTCACTTGACATGGGAGATGTTTAAAATGGCGAAAAAGTTGGATTGATTACCAAGCCTGAAGGAGGGCAAGCCTTAAGTTCGACGAAATTGACAAGTCGATGCATGCTCCCCGATCTGTCTCAAAACTTAAAAAACCCTATTCAAACAACAAACCAGGGGGAGTACAAGAACCATGGGTATGTTTTTCTTGGACGCTTGGGGGGGACATCTTTTACATGGGGATTCATGCAACTAAACATGTGTGCAGGAGCTTGCTCACAGAGATAAAGATATTGGGCGAAACACCGGGCGACAGCGCGAACCCGGTGCTCTTTGGTTGAATGGGATGGGAATGCCACTTTGGTATCACGGAGGGTATATTCGCCGAAAGTCAGCTGAACCATTGCTCTTCCTATCATCTATCAGTATAGTACAAGTGTCGAAAACACAAAACGATTTCATAACACAACTTGCTTGGCGAAACCAAACGCCCCACTGGCCATGGCCCCGGCCATGGCGCGTTGGGCGCTTTTCTGTGGCCTTTGGGCGGTTCGGGCGCGGCCCGTGGCGGAACGCCTCAGCGGGTGCGGCGACGGAGCCCTGGGACCAGGCGGGCCTGGAACCGAACTTTGGGTTGTGAAGGCAATCTACTACCATCACCTACCCTGGGTGAATTATAACGACCCCAGGGCTGCCAATACAAATGTTGGGATCAATTATTGCTTTTCGTTCTGGCTGAAAACAAAATTAAGCAATGCCCGGGTTGAAACCCTCAAACTTCCCCGAAAGGCCACTGCGGCGAATCCTGGTTTTTTCAAGTTCGAACCGCCGTGAATAGCAATCCTTTTCAAGGGGTCTCTTGATTTTCAAGCAAAATGAGTATCAAGCCTAAGGTTCTCGCTAACATCTTTGAGTTTGGTGCCCCGGTGCCCCCTTGGCAAACCTTTTCGGTGCCGCCCCACTGTGCGGTGGTGTTGGTCCCTTTGGTCCGTCGGCTCAGACCTGGCCTCCTACTGGCTGGTGTCCACCTGGCACGGCCCTGCGCCCGACCGGGTCGGGTCGGGGTCGGCCGCTGGTGGCAGGCGGCCCAGGGCGGCAAAGTCCGAAAGGGCCATTGACAACCGCCCGGTGTCCTTTTGGTTTCCCTGCAAACCAAACCAGGAGATTTCCCCCCCAAAAGAAGACAGGCATTTTCAGTTTTAGCGGCTTCCATCTGGAGAACTTGCCAGCCATGTGGAGCAGGCAGCGCTGAGGTCATGCAAACCGAACGGACCTCAGCGAGCTCCGCGAGTTCAATGTCAGGCTGGGCTTTCCTTTGTCGACGGAAAACTCGCGGATGCAGAGGGGGATGTTGCCCACAAAAGAGAAGGCCCCCGTCTAAAATGGGTGGCCTGCCAATTCATGAACACCATTTTTTTGTTTAATCAATCTTGGACGTTGAATTCTTTGGGTCGTCGACATGTAGTTTGTGAAACTTCCAACAGGAAATGCTGGTGATGGGCAAACTCCTGCGCCAGTTAATACAGAGGTCATGGGGCGTCAGTCATCCCAACTGGCAAACATCACACCTCGAACTGGGATGACTTCCATTTGCTTCGGGAGATTCATTATTTTTACCTCTTGGCCTTTGAAGGTTGATGGCCTTTGACTGGTAGTTCGATGGTTTCGCACCATAGTCAGTCGGACAAGCGCAGGCCGCTGCTGCTCCACCACTGCGTGGTGCATGGCAATGTGGCGGACTTCCTGGACGAGGTCGCGTGTGCGGCAAGGGAGATGCATTTGGCAGGTCCTCTTCCATTTGCTTAAGAACATGTTTTTTTGACTTTCTTCTGGTTGGTGTTAAAAGGAATTTATCACTTTATATTTTGCATTTTGTCCCAGGGGTCTTAACCACATGGAAGTCCTCAGGGCATGCTGTTGCATGCCAAGCGGACGTTTTGGCTTCTATTTGTCGAAAGGGAGGGAAACATACACCTTGTTGCAAAGGCCATTGTGAAAAGAGCATCCTGTAGAGGATGTTTGAGCGGACAGGTTCAGGTGATGACCAGAGGAAATGGAAGGCTGACGCCAGCAGCGAAAGGTTCTGCCGACTTTTCCCCCTGCCTGCTCTCCCCAGTCCCTGGGTGACCGTTTTCCCCAAGTCTGTCCGAAAAACTCAAGCTTCATGGCACTTCATGGTTTCTGGCCCCTTGTCTTCCGGGCACTGAAAGACCAATGGAATGGGATGAACATGCTAACCTGAAATGAGCGAGTGGTTGGTAGAAAGCAGGAAAGGCATACAGGCCAGGAAGCCAAGAGTGGCAGGCCAGCAAGCAAACGAACAAACAGCCAGGCAGGCAAAAGAGAAAACCTGCAGACCCAAACACAGGCTCCTTGCCTTGTCTGCTATTGGGTTGGATCTTTAGACTTTAACTTTTGGGTTATGAAATGGTTTTCCACTAAACCCACAAAAGTTGAACCTTTTGCAGAGGGGTCAACAGCAACAAAGTTGCATGGCCTTCTTGATTCGGGCCCGGATTTCTGAATTGGTAGGCCTGGATGACGGGTCTGCGTGTGGTAGTGGAGCTGCAGCCGTTGCTCTTCGTGGAGCCTTCGGTCGGGTGCTTCATGACCAACTTCGACTGCTACCAGCGCATCAAGGCATGGCTGTGGGTCAAAAATAGGGTAACACCAAAGAAAACTGGTAAATGGCACCAAGGACTAAAACCTGTAGTCCCCTGGTTGTTTCATTTTGACCCATACCCGCATGGAAGAAGATGAGTGCGGAGTCCCCAACCCTCATTCTAACCCCATTTTGGGCTAGGTGAATTCACCACCCATTTTAGAACCTATTTTAGTGGGGATTGCGATGTTCACTGGGGGTACGGATTTTTTGTTAACCCCGATTGATAAACCCCTGGTTGATTAACCGGGGTTCCCTGTTGCTGGACATTTTTTACTTTTGTTGCTGGCACCCCTATGAATAGGCTGGCTTTATTGATTAATCAGTGTTCCCCCAACACACCCCGCCAGCCTGGACGTGGGCAATGCAGGCCCTTTGCTAAGGGGGCCGTTTTTGGCAAGTGGGGAATTATGCTACAGTAAAGTGCCCAGATTCCATTTAAAAATCACAACAGCCACTGTGTTTGGGGGGTTCACCGAAGTAAAAAAGAGAAGGACTCTCACACCCACGTTACCCTGGAAGTCTGGTTTAGGCCATGCTCCTCCAAAAAGGCCAGGGGCCTTCTGGTGGGGTCCATAGTAGCTAGCGGAGTGGGGAGTCTCAACAGAAGTTGAACTGGACCTTTTGACATCCCGATTTCTTCCTGAATTTCGGGGCTTGACCCAAAAAATATGTCATGAGGCTCCGTATACCCATGAATATGTGTAACCTACGCTTGGTCCGCCGCAGGTGGCATACCGTCAGCTGCTGAGCCAATCAGGCCTGCCCGGTTCAGGAAAGCGCACGACCTCGTAACGGGTTTGGTGTGAGACCTGCGGCCCGACGATGATCCAGGTTTCTTTCTTGAACTTCAAGTCTCATTCCGGGCTGGCAACTTAGGCGGAAAGAGGCCTTTGCCTAGCGGCGCCCTGCTTCCCCACGTGCCATTCGTGAACTGAGCTTCCAGAGTCAACGCCCACTGTTCCTGCATGAAGCAAGCAGGCCACCAGGTCCAGGTGATACTCCAAATTAGCCAAGTTTAGGTTCCGGGAGGCGTTGGGCACTGTTCCAAACGATTCCAATTTCTATAGTGAGAACCGTGGATCTGCAGTAATTTTGAAATGAACGATAGGTATCCTTCAACAGTAGCTGCGTATTTTACAGCAAGCTCACGGAATTGCTTGCTTCAGATTTTGGAAGTATTGTTGAATTTGCAGCTCCTGGAAAGTAAGCCCAACGTGAAGCCCGATACATATTGACCAGACTCGAGTATATTATTTTGGGGGGGGTGAAAGCTGTCGCGTGCGGTTGACAAGGGGGGCGGGCATTGGTGATTTGACTTGACAAACATGCCAGCATGACAAACAAACAATCAAGCCTGTTATCTTTGTGGTGTGTTGTGCGTGTCTTGCTTGTTTCTATGTATTGGCCTTGCCAGGGCGCATTGTTTTCACACCGGCGCATTTGCTGCGTTCAGGCATTTGGTCAGATGGCGAGTACCACCCAGCGGCGACTGGACTTGCGTTTCTGAGTTCTGAGCGGGGGTTGGGCTGTTGTCATTGGTCCAGCGCGCCCAGCTTTCCGAACTCTGGGCCCCTAGGGCCCCTTGATTAAAGTGAACATTTTGAGATGTTCTCAAAAATCCGTTTGGGGTAAGCCACGAGTTAGAGGGTCATTTTGAGGTTGACACGCAGATCGGATTAATAGAATCTGAACCCCCACAACTCCTCAAAGAAACCAATGAGCGGAGATGAGGGAACCGGGGATATGGTGACAAGCACCTTGACCGAGAAGATGACTCATTTTTGGAGTTCATGGACTTGAAACTTCTTGGGTTTGGACCATGTTAGCGGCAAATGAAAAGTTTGGTTACTTTTGTGGAGTCCACTCAGGAAGTGATGGGGTAGAATCAAGGGGTTGATTCCCCATTCTTTTCAACCATCGTTCTTTCCAACAACTGGCCCTTTTCCCTTTCCGGAGGTAGAAGGATCCCTGGAAAGAATGGAAACGGAAAGTACCCCTAGAGCTATGCGGCTTCATGTCCCTTACACTTCTTGGGTTTGGACCATGTTAGTGTTACTTGTTGGTTTGCCATCAACCCTGGGCTTCATGTCAATCAGTTTGGTTACGTTTGTGGGAAGTGAGGGGAATCAATCCTACCCCGGGCTTCATGTCCATGGCCCTAGGTCCAAGCGCTTTTGCTGGCGCGGGACCCCGTGGCCTTGGCCTCCGCCGTGCTGGGCGAAGGCGACGTGCGCAGCGCCCAGGCGGCGCTGCTGGGGGTGGTCTCCGCCTGGGACGGCGTGCTAGGGGCCGCGCCTCGGAGCCAGACAAAACGCCGAAGCGGGCTGCCCATGGGCGTCGACTGATTGAACAAATCCTCAAAAAGTCAATAAGCGAAAAGGAGGTGGTTGCAAGAATCGACGAGGGTGTGGCGGGGGTTATGGAGATTGTAGTGGGCTCCATCCCGTCTTGTCCTTTGCTGGCATCTCTCTGGCAAAGTTGAGAATTTTAGGGGGCGCTCAGTATGAGCCGCAATTAGTTATTTTCAGCATGTTACTGTTTGTTTTAGGGCAAAAGCTGGGAGGTGTCCGGCTGTCCATTCTACCGTGTTCTATTCAGCCCACGTCAGGCAATTAGAGCTCAACCAAGGTTGCAATGAAAGTATGGTATTTGACACCATATCTGACACCCAGGCTGGTGTCGAAGGACAAATGGGTTGATTGTTCCTTGTCATTTCAAATTGCGTCATCTCAAAGCAAAAGCAGGCACCGAGCCCTGTATGGCGTTTGGCTGCTCAGGGCGGCAAGCAGATTCCCCGCTTGGTTGCAAGCGGTTTTACCTTGTTGTGTAGAAACGCGCGGCCAGCCAACTGAAGCCTCATTTTTCTCAAGGACCCCCATATGACCACCCAACAACGGACTAAAGCCTCACCTTTTGGGTTGCCATCTTAAGTGACTTGACGCGCGCTGATGTGACTTTGCGCGTGTGCTCGTGGCCTTGCAGTGATGTGACTTTCTGCGCAATGTGACTTAACGCGACCGCACGTATGTTGCCGTGGTGTTTCCTGCTGGGTTGTAAGATAATTGGCCAGTGGAGCATTTCTTCAGCTGAGTCATGGTCAAAACCCGGGTAAT